CCTGAACGATGCGTGGATCGAACCGGGTTCAATATTCGACCTGTTTCTCGAGAGTTTTCGGATCGGAAACGACACCCAGAAACTGCTGAACCACTTGGTGCTCGTAACTTGGGATCATAAGGCTTATAATCGTTGCTTGGAGTTGCATCCACACTGTTATCAGATGGAGTCGAAAGGTGACCAAGCAGATTATGGTGGTGATACCTTCTTCATGACCCCCAAATATCTCCACATGATGTGGCGTAGAACTGAGTTCCTTAGCTCCGTCCTTCAGGCTGGTTATAGCTTCGTGTTCACGGTATGTATGTTTTCTTTCTTATTAGAACAGATATTGTTATGAGTCCCACATTGAAAAGACTTACAAGCCTAACATAGCTTATAAGGGTTCTTCTTTGCGGGCGCCATTGTCATTTGGTAAAAAGTGCTTTGATTGAAAGCCGAATAGTTAAGTAGAAGGCTACTTACAAAGAACTCTTTCTTTTATTATGTTAGTTTTTTGGGATTTTTTTTTTCTGTTCAGACTTATCTTTACTTTGTACGCAAACCATCACTCATATAGTGAACCTTTTCATCATCCTCATGATGCTACGCAGGACTTGGACATAATGTGGCTTAGAGACCCGTTTGAGAGGTTTTTCAAGGACGTAGACTTCCAAATTGCTTGTGATCACTTTAACGGCAACTCATCAGACACAAATAACTGGCCAAATGGAGGGTTCTTATACGTAAGATCTAATCCCAAAACCATAGATTTCTACAAGTTGTGGATTGAATCCAGATCAATCGACCCAAAACTGAACGAACAAGACGTGCTGAACAAGATCAAGACACACCCATTTGTGTCTGAAAGGAACATGACGATAAGGTTCCTCAACACAGCCTATTTTGGAGGTTTTTGTGAAGTGAGTAGAGATTTCAACAGAGTTTGTACCATGCATGCCAATTGCTGTGTTGGTATGGACAACAAAATCTTTGATCTTCAGATATTGCTTGAAGACTGGAGACGCTATATGGCTTTGAATCCAGATGAGAAACAACGTTCACACCCAAGATGGAGGGTTCCCAATACTTGCAGGTAATTGAAATGTCTCTATATCAGATTTAGATTTCTCTTCAGGTGAAATGATCCTGTCCTACACACGCACGCACGCTTGACTTATCTCTCTATAGTTGGCAAGTTCTATAGAAGGTTTGATTCTGTATAATTTTTAGATCGGTTTCAGGTGATAACCAATTTAGATGGTCACTTTTTTGCCTTATATTCCTTTGGTTGTAAATATAAATTACATTATAAAATGGGTCTTATATTTTGAATTAAGGGAGTATTTTTTTGTTGGGCACTATCTAATCTGTATTGGTCACTGGGGACAGATCTAGAAAATATGTTGCTTGACCAATTGTACAGTTGGTTTAGAAATTTTTTGACATTTTAAACCCTCTCTAAACTAATTAGTTTCAAAATCAATTTAGAATGATATTTTTCGTCGGATTTAGAAATTCTTTTTTCTTATATTAGCGTAAATAGGACTTGATGACTATAATTTCTATTGATAGATATAGCCTCCAATATGTTCCTTTATTTCTTACATCAATTTTTCCTTCCAAATTGTTGATCTGAAGAACGTCCTTCAAACGAGCCAGAGCAAAGAGGAATAAAGAGAAAAATAACGAGAAGTCGCAATCGAAGACTTATGAACATAATTGAAAGAAGCTTTGTAATTGTATATAGAGGTATGATGTATGAAAATTTATATTTATGCATCATTATATATATTTATATTTAATCTGCAGTACTAACACATGCGTCATCAATTGTTTTTTTGTAGAATGATCGAGGCTTATATATATATATATATATATATATATAGAGTTTCTTATGGTGGCAAACCAACTGGGAGACAAACTCATATTGAAAATGGATCGGAGGAATATATGGAAAACAAATGTAATATATTCAAAGTTCTGAAGCTTGTGAGATATCATAAAAGTTGCAGCAGCCTGGGAATTTCATTGCTTACAGTTAACATCCAGTCTTAACATTGTGGTTCTAGTTTCATTCTTTTATCTTCTTGTTTTTTAAAATCTTAATTATTGTATTCAGGCCAAAAAAATAATATCTTTGTTATATAATTACAAGCGCTTTTTTTTTTTCAAAAAATATGAATAAAAGCATAGAGTTGAATGTATTATATTATATATGATGTCCAAGCATTTTGTATAAACGCATGTCCTTCATCTTCGAATCAATTTTCTCCCCCCGATCATAAGACTGCCAATTCCAAAATAAAATAAAATAAAATAAAATCTCTATTTGGACAGTTGCATTAAAATAGCCAAAAAAAAAAGAGATTACAAATAAGATTTTAAAATTTGATCCTCGTAAATAAAGGAGGAGGAAGGAGGAAAAAAACATGTGCTGTTCCACAGTTTGGGGCGATACAATATTTGTTGACAATATCTTGCGGGGTCAAAGGTGGCAACTTCACGTGTTACGAGGAAACATGTATATGATTAGTACTTAGTGATACAGGATATAAAGAAGAGATAAATTTAAAAAAAAAAAAGAAGAAGTTATAAGTTTTAAGCCAATTGTAATTCGAAGTATTGGTTTGTGCCCCTTTTTTTGCAGCGAAGAAAATTCTGTGTTTCAAATCCTATACATTTGTCTAATAAATCCAAATAAAGTTGGTGGATTCTAATTAAGTTTAAAAATAAATTAAAAAGGCTAATATCAAGCTTTAGTGAAAATAATATAGGGAAAATGACAGATAAAGAAGGTGGAATATCTGAAATTCCAATTTGAGAAGCTAAGGAAATGTAATGACAATGAGAGAAGTCCTTCCCAAATTAGAATTTTGAAATTCAGTGAAATGACAAAAATGCCCTTTACCTTTTTTTAAAAAAAAAACTCAGCCTCTCACCGGTGGCTGCCAGTGAAATTTTTTTGTAACAGTTTTTTTTTGTATAGGAGAATATTGCAAGAAGTGGTGGGGGTGGGATTTGATCCCACAACCCCTTGGCCATTTGGACCAACAAAAAGACAGATGACCATTGGGCCATAAAAAACTTCTTAACTTTATAATGCAAATAAAAATATAAGTTGACTTTTTTACTGTGACTCCAGCCCGTGACAATAATTTACCTCAGGATGACAAGTCTTAACTGAAAAATAACAAGTCTAAATTTGATATTAATAAAAACAACTTTTCTTGATATATAACAAGAAGTAACATGTATGTTAATTAAAAATGATCATAATTTATTTGAAAATGACACGTCTTTACTGAAAAATAACAAGTCTAAACTTGAGATTAACAATGTGTCTTTTCCTGATACATAACAAGAAGTAGCATTAACAATATGTCTTCTACTGAAAAATGACAAGTCTAAACTTGAGATTAACAATGTGTCTTCTCCTGATACATAACAAGAAGTAGCATGTATATTAATTGAAATGACCATAATTTATTTGAAAATGACACATCTTGTATGTATCAGGAGAAGATATATTGTTAATGCTACTTCTTGTTATGTATCAGAGAAGACACATTGTTAATCTCAAGTTTAGAGTTGTCATTTTTCAATAAAGACGTGTCATTTTCAAATAAATTATGGTCATTTTTAATTAATGTACATGCTACCTTTTATTATGTATCAGAAAAAGGCATATTGTTAATCTCACGTTTAGACGTGTTATTTTCCAGTAAAGACGTGTCATTTTCAAATAAATTGTCATTTTTAATTAATATACATGTTATTTCTTATTATGTATCAGGAAAATTGCTTTGTTAATATCAAATTTAGACTTGTTATTTCTCAATTAAGACTTGTCATCCTGAGGTAAATTCTTGTCACAGGCTGGAGTCATAGTAAAATAGTCAACTTATATTTTTGTTTGCATTAAAAACTTAAGAAGTCTTTGATGGCCCAATAGTCATCTACTTTTTTGTTGGCCCAAATGCCAAGGGTTGTGGGATCAAATCCCACCCCCATCACTTCTTGCAATATTCTCCAATACAAAAAAAAAACTGTTACAAAAAAATTCCACCGGCAGCCACCACACCAGTGCTCGGCGGCGGCAACCAGTTGCCGGCGGTGGCTGCCGACCGCCAGTGAGGGGCTGAGTTTTAAAAAAAAATAAATAAATAAAGGTTTTTGTCATTTCACTGAATTTCAAAATTCCAATTTGGGAAGACTTCCTTCATTGTCATTACATTTCCTTAACTTCCTAAATTAGAATTTCAGATATTCCATCTTCTTTATCTGTCATTTTCCCAATAATATAAAGCATCGATATATAATTTTTTTAAAAAATGGATTGAATATCCACGTGCAGGACTCGGTTATCTTGTAATTGGTCTAGAAAAGCAAATTAACGATCATATTAATAAAAGAAAAAACTCAATAGATAAGAGCGTCTTGGGTAATAAATGGGCATTAATATGTTAAAACTGGAGTTAAATTAATGAAAATCTATTTATACATAAGGAACGCGTTAATATTGATTTATTGATTTATTGATTTATTGTTGGCATTAATAAGTGAAAGAATTGTTTTCCCTGTAAGAATTTTTTATTCGTCAGATTATGTATTTTAATCTTTTAAAAAAAAAGCTGAAAATAATTTTAGTTCTTTAACTTTATATAAAATTTTATTTTAGTTCCTTCAATTTTAAAAAGTAAATTTTTAGTCATCTAATCCTAAAATTATTAACAAAAAATAATAATATTAAATTCTTAAATGCTGACAAAATATTACTAAAAACTAACATATTAAATTTAATATTTAAAATAATCATGATTGTTACAGAAAATCATTATTTAATATTAATAATTTTAGAATTAGAGGATTAAAAATATTTTTTTTTTACGGTTTAAAAAAATCTCCCGACAAAAATATCGATTGCGAAAAAAAGGTCGTTCCCAAATGCCAACCAAAGAGATTGCGCCATCGCGCGGGAGTTAACGGCAGGAAACCGACAGGTTGAGAGTGAAGTGGGAATCCATCTATGGAGGCACTTCCCGGTTCCTCCCTCACTTCTCCTTCCCCTTTTACTACCACGCCATTTGCTCCTTCAAAACGTCAACGTCGCCGTCGCCGTCGAAATCTTCCTTTCTCCGTCGAAGCAGAGCAACAAGAAATTCGGGTATGCACGAATCGGACTTGCCGCAAACAGGGCTCATTTCAAACCCTAGAAACCCTTTCCGGTCTTGCTCCTCCTAACGTCGCTGTAAAACCATGCGGGTGTTTGGGAAAGTGCGGTGCTGGTCCCAACCTTGCGGTCCTGCCGGACGGTCTTATCGTTGGTCATTGCGGAACGGCGGCTCGAGCGGCTGAGGTCATGATGGGTGTGGTTTCTATGGAAGAAGGTTCGGATTCATATGATGCAAAAAAGAGTTTAGATGCGCTTGCCCTGAGGAAGAGAGCTGAAATTGAGTTCGAGAAGCAGAATTTCACTGAGGCTGAACTTCTGCTCTCACAGGCACTCCATCCTTTACGAGCCTAAGTGTGAAGTTTACTGTTTTAATAACATTCATTCTATCGAAAAGTTAGATTTCTTCTTTTGTTTTTAAGAAAAACTTATAGTAGTTTTGTAATTAACAGCTCAATTTTTTATGGAGTTAGATCGGAGTTGAGAAGCTATATTGAGACTGATATTGTCGGGGTTTTGGACAGTGCAGGCTATCGAATTAAAACCATTCGGTGGTATACACGTAATATATAAATGTAGGTATGTGGTCACAAACTTCAAAAAATTTTTTCCTGCGAAGGTTTATTATGCTGGCCCTGTATAACGTCGTGAACTGGTGTTCTGCTCGATTTAATGGTTTTGTAATTTGATTTCCTATCAATTATTTTCATCTCGTCATCGTTAACGAAAGAGGCATTTTTTGTTGCCTATTGTTTCAGAAGATATAGCTCGCCAAATGTTTTACTGTTTACTTGCTGCCAATTTGTCGTGAGGCATAAGAAAATATAGTTTTCCCTTTTCATTTCTTATTGAACATAGTCATTTATGTCCTGAAGAGTTTCAACTTCCACTTTGTTTACCATGATTTGCATGTTTGAGACTTCTTCTCTACTGACATTCAGGTCAGCTGTAAGGTTGGCATTGAGTAACTATTCTGGAGCTCTAGATGACGCAAGGGAGGCTTTGGAATTAGCGCCTGAGTATGCTGAGGTGAGGCAAACTCTTACTAAATTTTTTATGAAAACAGTTTCATGGCATTCCAAATCATGGTGGTTAAGTATGATATTTAACTCATTAAACGCCACAGGAAGAAAATATATTCTCTGGGTTACATGATCGAACAGTTCTCTAGAAATCAGTGGTTCCTGGACACTTCACTGCTCAAGGATGCCCGTTGAATCCCATGGTGTACATGTGTAAAGATGGGGCACCAATTTGTATTCCTTTTCAATCTCCGCACACTCATAACATGTAATTATACATTAAGATCCCGTGAAGGCCATAGATTGAGTAATCCAGTGTTGTTTTGAATTGGCTATTGATGCATTTGAAATACTCAATCTAGTAAGCAGCACGAGGGAATTAATTTGTTCAGACCCTCTAAAATCATGTTTGACGGATCCAATCTTCTATTTAAATTATCCATGTAAAGATGCTGCTGGTGAACCAAGAGATTGGACCTTTGGTGTAGCATAACTGCTAGTGAAATGCTGCAATTACAGCTGACTTGGTGAAGTTTTGAGTGACATTGAGTATTTTTGTTTTGACTTCCACCAAAAGCTTGATAAATAATTTCATCAAGGGGATTCTGCCCTTCATAAAGCTGAGAAGCGTAGCAATATCCAGGAACTTATCTCAATTAGCCAGGATATGATTTTCTTGTTTCTGTAACAGCCCTGATATTCTAACTATTAGCTTTAGTTGCTTATCATCAGTTTGAATATTCGTTTTAAATGTGGTGTTCTTTGCTCTTACCCAATAAATTTTTATATGGATTTAATTTATTAATTTATGATTTCATGACTCCTGCCAAAATGAAATGTACTTCAATGGTTTCGGAGCATGTCACTGAAATAGATTTTGTGATTTTGCAGGCTTATCTCTGCCAAGGTGATGCACTTTTGGAATTGAAGCAATTTGATACAGCAGAAAAGTCATATTTGGCATCTATAGATATAGATCCTTCAATCCGAAGATCTAAATCATTCAAGGTGGCATTCAATCTTTACACCATTTAGACATTTAAATCACTTGTATTTCATTTATCTTATAACTGTCTGCATCCCTGTCTATTGAATTTTGCTTGAAGGTTGATATGGCAAGACTTGAGATAACTTTTTATTATTTCCCTCGGTTGAGGGCTGACTTCTATTAATAGTTTCCCGTGGCAGTATAATTATTAATCATTGATAGTTAGATATTCTTGAAAGATAATCCATCGAGCTTAATCTTGTGAAAATTGATTCTTTGATGCATGGATAAAGCCATCACTTCTTTCTCATTCATGCTATGTGTTTGCAGGCGCGGATCGCAAAACTTGAGGAAAAAGTTGCTGCTGCTAATAAGTTATGAGACGTACCTTCTGAACAAAGGTGCAATCTAATCGCACTGATTTCAGGGTGATTTGATTACTATTTTCCAGGTATAATGGGTCACTTGCGCCAGATTTAGGTCTCCTTTACTTTCTCATGCTTTGCGATGCATTCTGAAGTACCTCCAAGAAAATTCCATATATTTTCTCCAGCTTAGTTCTTCCAAAGCAATATCTAGCTTTACTATTACTTTAACCAAAGAAAAATCCAGATATTGGTAGATGGATAAAATGTCCCCCCCCCCCCTCCCAAAAAAAAAAAAAAATTGGACCTATCTTACTGGCATCCGCAGGCCTTCAAGTAACAGACTTATCAAATAGTGAAATGATTAAGTGTTGCAATGACTTAAGATGCTTCTTTCAATGAACTATTTGATCACACAAGACCCATTCTCTTGGCAAGATTTTGGGGTTTAACCTGATGTTTGAGAGCGACCTGTCAATATATTCCACATTACAGGGGAGAGAGTTTGTTTCCCAAATTTGTATATCTGTACTGTACTGAACTTTTCCTGGTCCCGTAGAACTGATGAAAGAATATGAAATTTATTCAAATTTACCAATTCAATGTCACTTTTTAATTGAATATCAGTGATGGAATTTAATTGGGCTGAAATGGAATAATTTCTGCCCTGAATCAAATTGTGCTTCGGGCTGGTGGTTTATATAGTTTTAGATATTAATGACTTACCCATCATCACCCTCAGTTGAGTATGGTCATTGCTTCCTTTCTTCTCATTATTTTTTTAATCGCATTTAATTTATTTCCTTTGTCGTTCTTTTGTTTTTGTTTTTTTGTTTTTAGCGTTATTCATCACTATTTTGTTTTTTAACCTCAATAGAATAAGCCTTGTTTTACACTTCCCATATTCCAAATGAAAAATCCATTAATTTGGTTGTATTTTCTTTTCAATGCTCAGGCTTTTGCTATCTAAGTTCAAGTTCAGTGGTTTCAAATTTAACATGTATAGCGCATCTGGAGGAGGTAAACACTGCACAACTAGCGCGCGCACGCACACACATGTATATGGGATGATTCGTCTTCATAGGAGCAAAGAAATTTCTTTGTATATAAACATCATCTTTAAATATGGCTAAACAAAAGCAATGCCATAAAATTACCAAAGGAACGCTCTAAAAGAAATCATGTGTTGAACACTAAAGAGAACTATGACTGTTTCTTAAAGGCTCAAGCATCTTGCTTGAGCTGGACAATTAAAATAAAAGCAGTTTAGAAGATTTCATTTAACGTTGAAGTTTTAAAGCTTCTATAGTCATTTTTCAAAGAGAGGTATGAGCAGAAAGAAATCCTTTAAAAACGAGGCTAAATCGGCCTTGGGAATTCTAAAAAGTAGTCGTATTTGAGTTGATAAAATCAGGGAGCAAAGGGGAAAAACAGAAGCTATTTTACTTTTACCATAAGATGAGGTGTAAGGATCTTAAACAATAAGAATCTCTAATAAAACTCAAACGTCCTTTCCTAGTCATCCTAAACAGACCATAACTGACTTCCTAGGCACTAACAAAGTGGTCTCCATGCAATAAGTGCAGTAGAGCATGTTGTAAGAGCAGACAGTTAGTGAACTCCCCTGCTAACTGTTTCCTCAATGCCTGGTCAGATAAAGGAACACGTTATAAATCCTAGAGAATACAACTAAGTCGGCTAGAAAGCCTCATTTCATGACCAAATTTTGAAGAACTTTTTTTTTGGGTGTGGGGGACGAGAGACAGACGACGAAAACAAGAGAAACGGAATTCAATTCTCATCCAATACGATCCATTCTTTTTACTGACACCAATCAACTAATTATCCAACTACCTAACCGCCTTCCTGTTTTTATTCTTAACCTTGTCGGCAAATGTTGTTGTGAGCTAATATGAGTTTTAATGTTTTTAGTTATTTCCTTCGCTAGATTAATACTGATTTTGAATAATTCTCTTGAATTCCTATCTTGTTAAAATGGTTATAGTTTAGGACTTGTGCTAAAATACACTTTCTTGGATCTGGATCAGTTATTTATTTATCTTTTTTTTATATTGGAAATTACATTCATTTGCCCTTTTGCTGTATAAGTGTGCATGGTTCTTCGAATGGTTCTTGTTCATGAGCATTCACATGAGATCATTTTCCTTTTAATCTTTTCTTTATTGCTTTGAAATCTAAGTTCAAGTTCAATGGTTTCAAATCTAACATGCATAGCACATATGGAGGAGGGCAACACTACCCAACTTGAAAGGAAACACATTGAACTGAACGTTCTGGGTACCAAACATAAAAATGAAAACCTGATCCCTAGACATCAAGATATTCCCATATTTATTGGTTTTCTAGTCCAAGCAAATAAAATTACAGGAAAATTATTTTGAACAGTGTTCGTTAAATCCCTGGATATCAAGACATTCCCATAATAATAATCTCGTGTATTTTGAAAAATGTCTTTATTGGTTCGGCTTCGTAGCTCATATTATTGGGAGATTTTCTGTACCCAATCTTTAACATGTAAAGAACAACAGTCCAAACTCCAAAGATACAAAATACTAACTTCGGTCCTAATAATAGGCATTATTTATAAACTACAAATGAAGTCTTGTAATTAGGACTAGAGAAAGTACTAAACCCCAAATCTTATCCGACCAATGAAGACGAACTTCATTTATATTCACTTTGTTTTATTGGTAAGCAGTTTATAAATATGCTACTAAACCTGCCGCGGATCAAGGAATAAAGCAATGTTTGGTCAAATTCTAAATAAGGCTTCCCTGCGTCGACAAAAAATGACCTAATATTTCCTATCAACATGTTTACACTTTTGCACATTTTCACCTTTTTTCCTGCTGAAAAATTTGCGCATATTTGGGATTAAGCTGCGCATCAAGCAGCTATACCTACATAGCACGATAAGACAGAAAACATCGGAATTTAGTTTAGGTTATTAATTAAATAAGATGGCTAATACTAGGCTAAGGAAAAACTTTTAAGAAAGGAGCATTCAACTTGTTTAACGAAGCATACCATGGTTTGGCTCTCGATTTGTCGAATTGCTCCAACAAAAATAGTAAACATGCTTGCCTCGCATTGAATGGCTTTGATAGCTCACCCAAAAGAGAAAAAGAAATATCCTAGGAATAATAGGATGAATCATGAGGTTATAGCATGTTCATCGAATAATTTGAAACAAAAGAGGAAAAATTAAATTTGAAACTACACTTTTGCCCTACCTTAGACTTTGCACATTCACAGGGTCGCTGAACATCATCCAGAAGATATTGATCAGCAGCTCTTAGGAGATCCTGAGCAATATCCAAATTGACACCTCTGGTTCCTATATAAATAAATCTAAAAGTGCCACAAGGAAATCAAGTCATGTGACAAAAGATGAAAAATCTAGAAAGGGATCGAAAATCACACCTCATCATCAATTCAAAGACATCCCATTTAATGTTAGGAATCTGAATATCTTTGGCTTCCCTTTCCTGCATTTGCATATTCAACCAACATCAATGTGGTTATTGGCACTTAGGCCCCAGTTTATAAAATTAATCAAAAGAAAATAAATTATGGACATTAATCAATGCCTGCCCTGTAACCACCATCAGGCATTGCTCGAAATGCATCAGAAGGGGAGACAGATGTGGCTCTAACAACCAACGAGTGAAGTGCCATTAAAGCCTCGTGTTTTTGTTTGATGTTTGTAGATTTTAGAAGATCCAGCAGGAACTTAAGTCCTGCAAAATTCAGTAGCACATTAAGTGAACATACTTTAGCATCCAAACAAAATAATGTCCAGACCACAAATGAATCATGTTTTACCATTGTTGTCAACAAAAATCAATTTCCGATCATCAGGGCCACATAGATGAGCAAGAGCAAGAGCCATGCGTCTTTGAACAGCCTTTTCTCCAAAACGCATAAGATGCAATAGCTGCTTCAGCACCTGTTAGAGAAAGGAAGCTGATGAGTCCCATCCAATGTTGAGAACAAAGATTGAAAGAAATAATAGCTAGACTATAACATAATGTGGATATGTAATTTAAACAGATAAAAGAAATCGATAATTTGCAAGAAAACTCACACGTCCATGCATTTTCTTCTCTAATCTTTTCATTGTCTTTCCTACCAACGCTTTAGCAACCTGCAAGCCACATAAGACTTGTGAGGTATTGATAAACCAAAGAGAACGATTTCTATAATATATCTTGGCAAACAAGAAATTTATCATCTTGGAAAAAGTTCCATGTAGGCCTCTTATTTTTATGTTAATGAAAAATAAATGAACATACCTTGTCTTTAAAATCTCCATCCTGTAGTTTTTGAACACCACCAGCCTTAACAATATCCACAACACTGTCCTATTAAGGAAAAAAGTTGGATGATTATGAAAGGGAAACACGCATTGATGATTCAACAAGGAAGCAGGCAACACACTTCACCTCATTATTAGCAAGACCATACAGAGCAAAGGCTACATATTGTCCGAGATGCCCATTCTTAGAGCAAAGAAGGTTGACTAAAGGCTCTATACCTCCATTATAAGCAATACCAGCTTGATTGTGTGTGTCCTAAAGCAAGCATCACAAAAAGAACAAAGGAATATGAAAGAACTGGCCAGAGATAAGTCTTACACGTAATTTTATATTGCTCACTTGGTTATATCAGCATTAGAATTAAAACTTCAAGTTACAAATATATAGGCCCCACTTGTCATTACGTTTAAAATCACTTATAAGCACGTTCACATAAATCGAGACAAAACTGCTCTCAAGTACTAACCTCATATTATGTAAATCACGATCGAAAGTTTACTTATAAGTCATTCCAAATGGGCCATAAAAGAAAATACTCACTTGCTAATAGCTTAAACCTTTTAAACTCTTGAGGCTAGCCACTGATAAGTATTAATAACTAATGTCATCAATGTTTATATTCTTTATACAGCAAATTGATCAATGTAGTAATGATCACCTGAGCCAATCTCACTAGTGCAGAAGCCGACATTTCTTGAAGCTGTGCATTTGGAGACTTAAGCATGTCAATCAGTGGCTGGATAGCCCCTCTTTGAGCAATATGAACCTGTATGAAACACAACCTTATGTGGTTGCTGGTTATGACCCCAAAAAAAAAAAAACATGGAGGACATAACAAGAGCATTTTATAAAACCATCTAAATGCAACACACATAATGCAATCCACCTTACAATCAGAATCTGTCTCCGCAAGTAGACTAATTAAAAGAGCTGCGTCTCTTTAACTTTCCGAATAGCAAGATCTGTCATTGAAATTCTGAACTTGAGAAAAGTAATTTAGAGAGTTTGTAGGGCAAATCAGAAGTCCAGAATAACGTTACCTAAGCAACCCAATTACAGGTTGTAGAGCACCAGCTCGAAGAACTTCCCTCTGTATGTCAGGAGAAGACCGGACTAGAGTTGCAATCAACCTGCAAAGTTCCGAATTGAGCTGGCTCTAGAAAAATCACAGCATGGGAAAATTAAAAAAAAACAGAGGACAAAAATAAAAATTATTTTAGGGCCTAACCGCTCCACGATGTGTTGCAGCATCCTTTGATCCAAGCATTAGTACTAGAGCAGGCAGCGCATTGCATCCGACAATCTGCAATTAGTGATTCTTATCATTAACAATAACT